GCACTCCTGCCACCAGGTTACCAATTCAGAAGAGCTATTGAATGGTAGTGCATGACTATCCTGTTGTTCCATGTGGAACACACACCATCTAGTGCATCACTTCAGGGAGCTCAAACATCAGAATCAGGTTTGCTGAGACCTTTCAGCCTGATAAACCAGCTCTTGTTAAATTTTAATAAAACAACACTCTTACTTATTGCAGTGTGTTGAAAACAGGCGCAGCTGGGGTCTGATCCAAAGCCCATTGAAGTTAGTGAAAAGACATTGATTGGCTTGAAGGAGCTTTAGATCAAGCCTCTGGTGTACTGCAGAGAGGTTTGCAACATACAGCAATCCTGCCTAATAGGAGTCCAAATCAAGAGTCGCAAAATCTGTCACCTGTATGGAAGCCCTTGCTAATCTGGTCCCTTTTGTATCTTGGCCCCCTTAGGAGATGCTGCTCAAACCAGTGTCTGTTCTTATATACACACCTCCTTCTCTCCTAACTCAGTAGAGTTGGACCTATGGAAAATTAAGAGCAGATATTGGCTGTGAAATCGCAATAGCAATTTGAGTGTTGAACCGTGATTATTCTGTCTTCCCTATAAATACAATACGATATGGTTCTATATTACAGAGTATGGAATGTAAATAGTAACTTTGCATCACATGAAAAATATTAATCAATTCTTAGTGATATCAGTGCAAAACTATAGTACTTCTACCTACCATAAACTGGTAAATCCTGTATGCCCCTATGTTGTTTGAGCACATATGTCATAATACTTCACCTATCACATTTTTTGGTTGCTTGCTGTCATAAACAACTCTATGTTGACCATACCAGTTAGCCTTCATATTAAATTACTCAAGATTTATTGATTTTCTCCCATTTTCTCACAGACACTCCTTGTTTCATATAAAAAGCTTGCTTAAATGTCACAGGACCTTCTCTTATCACTACTCTATTAGTATCTGTATTATTTTAATGCTGAAAAGCTCCAGTCAGGCCCCACTGTGCTCAGTACACTACACACAAATAACAAAAAGATGGTCCCTGAGCCAAAAAGCTTACAGTCTAGGCTTACAGTCTAAGCCTATATGACGAGAGATGACAGGCGGTACAACAAACAGACACAGGGGAACACAAGGTAAAAGTCACATTATGCAGTGAACAGAGGAGAAATAAACAGAGGGAGTTTGCCTGGGGGAAGAGCCCACACAGTGTTTTGCCTTTCAGGATTCTGCAAGCAGTAAATATATCATCTAAGGAGGCTCTTGATACATTACAAGGTAGGAAATATGGATAGTGAGGGATCGGCTGTTGTGACCTGCTTGGGATGTGCCATGTTTATCTTTCTCCTGGAGGATAGAAATGACTTTGCAGATTATGGGGCTCTGGGAAGAAGGATAAAAGAGTTTGGGGAACAAGTGATGTTCTCATCCATCCTCCCTGTTGAAGGAAAAGGCCCAGGCAGAGATAGTCGAATCGTGGAAGTAAATGGGTGGCTACACAAGTGGTGTTGGCAAGAGAGCTTTGGCTTCTTTGACAATGAGCTGATGTTCCAGGAAAGCCGGTTACAGTGCTGGGATGGCCTTCATTATCAACTACTGGGAAGAGCATCTCTGGACATCGTCTGGCCCACCTGATCAGGAGAGCTGTAAACTAGGTTCTATGGAGAATGGTGACAAAAATCGGGCCAATGCGCATCTAGGCTCAAGTAATGAAGACAAGGGGAAGGGGCTAATTTCTGGAGAAGGAGTATGGGGAACAAGCAGGATGAACTGGAAGTCATGGTATATGAAGAAAATTATGACTTAATTGGCATCACAGAGACCTGGTGGGACAACTCCCATGATTGGAGTGATGTGATCAGTGATCACATATCAATGATGTGTGGGTTATCACCGGAGATGCTGTAGAGAGGATGATCCTGAGAGCACCATTTCCCAAAGTGTCCTTGGAGGGGCAGGAAGGCCTAAAAAGAGGGACATGGAAAGTGTATACATTGGATGTGGGGATAACTGGTTTCCTTTTCCTGAAGGGGGCTCAGTTTTCAAAAGTTTGGGAAAAGCTACCTGAGAGACAACCATCACTGGCCTTCCATAGGTGGTGCCTTTCTTGCTAGAAACCAGGACTTAACCATTAAAACAATCTCACATCTGTGCATTATTCCTGATGCTCCATTGCTAAGAGAATTTGAAGAGGTGCCAAATGCTTGTGTCTTCATCATATTTCCTGACCCTTATTTAGGGTAGATTCTGCCCACTCTTACTCACACTGAATAATCCCTTACTCCACAAGTAGTCCCACTGAACAAAATGAGGCTGCTCTTGAAATAAAACACCACTCAGTGTGAGTACGGATGGCAGAATATAATATCTGTTGCGCTGACAATATTCTTCCTCTGATTATCATGCACATTTGCTAGATTTGTGGTTTCCTCATTAGCCTAACCTGATCAATAAGTATTTCTGAAATAAGCACATGGACCTTAGTGCTGCAGCACTGAACCAGATGAATGATGTTAATCATGATGATCTGTCAACTGTTACAGCCACAAAGACCTACGCAGTGTCATGGAACTATTTGATTTGCAGTTATTTTGTTATACTTTCAGCTACATTAGGGATTAGGAAAATTAGGACCCAGAAACACTGAATAGCCATAGAATTGAACAAATGAAATAGTGGTATGTGTCTATTGTGATCCTTTCATCTTTTTGCAGAGACCTAGCTAGTAGAAAACCTAGCAGACAGAGAAAGAATTAATCTAGTGAACAACAGCAAAATTATTACTGAATGAAAACTCACATAACAGTGCTTCGCAGTTGCAATTACCTTTGGCCTGCAGCCGGCTGTGAGACTGGCAGATAGCAGCTGGTCTTCTGGTCAGATAGTGCCCTTAAGCATGTAGTTTGGCCAGCCAGAAATGTTCTGGAACACCTCCAAAGTGTATCTGACAATCTTGCAGTTTCATGTCTGCTGATATGGGAAAACGTGTGGTGACTTACTGCTTTTTCTTCTACAAAGCAAATGGGGCTGCATGAATGAGTGGCCCTGTGATACCCCATGAACGTGACAACCAAATCCTGGTTTTAGCATACCAAACTCTGGGTTGGGCTTGGGATGAGTTCACGGACTTCTTGATGGATGCTGGCTTAATTCCTTTGTGATACTGGTAGCTACCCAAGTTCAACTCCTGCTTAGTATCTTTTAAATAATGGTAAGCATGATCATAGTGAGTAAGACTACAAATGAGGGTACCATATTTTCTACCCAACCCCTCCCACCCCCCATTACAGATATGATTAAGAGTCATACATTTACAGAACAAACTACCCAACCTTTTTGATGTGTCTCTCCTGAAAATATGAAACATGTCTAAAGTAGCAAAAAACATGAGTTCCACTGGTGCAGATCATGCAGGGCCCATTCTAAAGTGAGTTAGCAAGTTCTATTCAATATTACAGCAGTTACTGGCCTTGTCCCAGGCCATTTATGTAACCATTAAGTGGGTAGAGCCCATCATGTTGCTTTTTGTGGACAGCAAAGAGTACTGCTAGCACATAACCTTTGATCTCTAAGTAGGATAAAGTTACCTGATCCTATCTTTCAGAACTATACCCTTGCAGGTGACTGATGTTACCATATTTCTTTGTCAACCAGTCTACCTTTTATGCAAAACAACCCCTCTTTATGGCTTATGCCAGCCACTCCACACACCATCGGTGCGCAACCATATTTAGGCTAGCAGTACAACACTGATAAGTCTCATAGATGCAGTTTCAAAGGGTCAGTCTCCCTTAACATGCACTTATCCCACCATTACAGTTGGCATATACAGTTTATGGATAGTCAACGTGACACAGAATTTGGTCCAGATGTTTGAAATGTGTATATTAAGGAGAGGAATATGGCCGATAAGTGACAGGGCAGTGGAGTTAAAGAGAGTAAAAAGGATGAGGACTACAATGATGGAGGCAGGTGGAGAAAAATGGAGTCTAGAACCAGAGAAAGATGCAGACCAGGGAGAAAGGACCAGCCTCAGAAATGGAGAGGTGCTTCAGAGGAGAACATCAGTCCCAACAGATGATCACTGCGGGCTCCAGCGCTGCGAGTGCCAGAGAGCCAAAGGGGGCTAGGAAACCGATTTTTTAAATGTCTAATATGTTTCCATGCCACCACATTTCAAGTTTCCCTTTTAGTTAGAAAACCACCCAGTTTTTGCATTTTCAGTATTTTTTCTTAGACAAGGACCCAGGAGAAGGGGATCTGTGTGTATTTTATTATATAACTATTTTTGTGAGCATGGCGGGGCATTTGCAACTCTATTGACATTTAGAAGAACTTTGGTGGTTGAGGGTTGGGTTTTTTGTTATTTTTTTTTATTTCCCTACCCCTGGTTCAAATTTAAGCATCAACCTATCTCAGCTTCATCAATGTATTTATTTGTATTTTTCCCTTCATCATAATAGGCCAGATTATGATTTTCTGATTCACACTGGGGAGCAGTTACTCCCCCTCCCCCCGTAAACCCATTGGTTTCATACGAGTAACTGCTCATCAGTGTGAATGAGGGGTTTACTACAGACTCAAAGTTATTTTAATAGTGATTTTACAGTGTGGCATAATCTTCTTTAACTCTCATCTTTCAACTGGAGAGAGCATGTCTCTCAATGTGTCCTGAAATCTAGGCCATTCTTTTGTGACAGATGTTGGCAGTGCTGTTTCTGCAGCATATTTACTGAAGTTCTCATGGGCTGAAGTGTTTTTTTATATTCTCTTTTTTGTTTTTTTGTCAGCAGCTACTTCTTTGATTCCAGCAAATTTTCTTGTCCCTTCAGCTCTGCAGGGAGCTCCGACTCACTCTGCATTTCAAATTGATTGGCTCCAAGTTTAAAAGATTCCTGTGGTTTAACACAGAAAGCGTGTAATGGGTGTTTGGAAAGTGAAAGACAACTTGGAATCGTTTTTCTGAACTAAAGTCTGATTCTTTTTTCCTTTTTGTCAATGTGTAGGTCTCGCATGACTTTGCAATCAACTTTAATGAAGACAACCCAGAATGTGCAGGTAACACTCGCATTAAGGAAAGCAGATTGCTGTACTTCCGCCATATGCAAAGTGGCGAGTGATTTTGGGAGCTTCAACTTGTAGTGTCCAACATGAGATGCCTGATTTTTAGAAAGTGCTTAGCCTCTACACTCTGAAAATCAGATTGTTTTTAAAGTATGTCAAGTTGGACACCCAGTAACTGAGGCTCACAAAATCACGCGACACTTTTGAAAACTGAGTTTCCAGTGTTTCCTTATTTTTGCCCGGATACTCAGCTCTGGTTAAGGGAAACTCTGCACAGCTCAGGATGATGGGAGATGCAAAGGCAGTCTTTGCACTCCATGGATCCAGGGCCATCTGTGTGCACGGCCAGTCCCCTGACATAATTTGACTGCTGTAAATCACACCAACTGCATGTGGTGTCAAGGGCTCAGAACAGCAGCTGTGAATCACTGTGGCATAAGACACTCCTGACCATATCCCCTTTCCCTTAGTTACTCCAGTGATGCAGCACAACTTGGTCCCAACTCAATGCGGAATTTGGGCCTTTGATTTCTAGCTAAGAGCTGAAATTAAAAAATAGCACTTATTGCTAATCATCAATAGTTAAAGGATAAAATTGTTGATTAGATTTTGATAAATGTGTTGTAGTTATCAGTGATGGGCAGTAATGATTGATGCGTTTACACTAATACGTAGTAACATAACTCACTGCTTACTTTGTACAAAGTATTAGAGAGAGAGAAAGCACACTAGAGAAATAGAATATTCTCTTTTTATCAGCAGAGGAGGGAGTATTGAGGGATCCCATGAGAACACATAAGAACATAAGAATGGCCATTCTGGGTCACACCAATGGTCCATCTAGCTCAGTATCCTGGCAGGTGAAAAGCAAAGGGACGGGAGAGACATTCCATAGTTGTGGTTTGAACTTACCATTGGCTTGTTTATTTTGTTAGTTTTTTTGTTATTTGTTTTACTTTGTCATGTTCTGTATTTAGGACTCAGTCATCTAATCAATTAATATTTCGAATGCAGGGATATTTAAGACTGAGAGGCGTAGGAAGACATGATGCAGCATGGGAATGTCCGAGGGAGAATTTTAAAACCACACTCAAAAAAACCTCCAAAAAAAATCTCAAAAGGGCTTATCAAGTATATCATAGTGGATTATACTCTGATTTGGGGTTCAGAACATGTGGGTTCTAGTCTTGCTTAGCCAACAGCCTGGTGGGTGACCTTGGGCAAGTCCCTTCACTTCTCTTTGTCCCACTTTCCCCATCTATAATACAAAGATATAATGACGCTTATCTTCTTTGTAAAGCACATTGAGATTTACTAATGGAAATTGCTATATAAGATCTAGGTATTATTATTCTTCAGTTCTCTTTGGTACCATTAAAAATAATTCCAGTTGGATGAAAGTGACAGAGAGACCACAAAGCATCCAGTTTAATCATTTGTTGCAACTCCCCATTGCCTGCCACTGACTCTTCATTAATTCCTGAACCAATTATTCTGTGATCTCTCTTTCAGCTTCCTTAAATACCCTATATTTTAATTGTCAGAACCCCAATATATTCTGTAACGAGAGGGTACTCCTGGAAAAAAAAGGTGAAATAAAGAGTGTAAGGGCCCCACTTTTTCCCATATAATTTATTTTATACTTACAAAAATCACAGAAAACACAGCTAGTGTGATAACAAGTTCTTGCCTAATGCTTTTGGTGCAGACCAATAAATTGATGACTCCTGTGGTGAAAAAGCATTCTTTTGATTCACTTAGAAGTAAAAAAGGAAATCCTATTTTGTATGTGAATAGCAAACTGTCAGTGGCCACTAGGGTACACTGACATCAGGATAAAAGTTAGTGTCATTCTATTCTGAATAGTGACTGAGTAAAGATCGCATCCCCTTACTCAGAAAATCAGCAGCTAAAATAACGTTTATTGGTTTTTACTCCTATTAGCACTTTAAGCTAACACAGCTAAGAAAGTAGGAACTGGATTATTTTCTTAGTTGCACATGAGCAGAATTTCTTACTAAGTTCCAATCAGTTACACCTATGCAAACCCATTAAAACCACTGAAAACTCTTACGGCTGCACAGCTGTAACAGAGAGCACCATTTGGCCTGCAGAACCTTTATTATTGGTGGTCATGCATGAGATGGAAGGAAACCCAGCTTGATTCTTTGAGTGCACAGTAGGTTTGCAGGCTAGCATTTAAAAAAAACGTTATTTGTAAACTGAACACATTTGATATGGAAATCGTTGGGGCAAACAATAAATATTGAACCCCATGATGCCATTTTTTATGGAGTCACTTTTTAGAAGAGAAGCAAGCTTTGAACACTCTGGGTATTTAAATTCAATTGTTTTTGTGCATGCTCACATACTATTTATTGTTTGAGAAAGAAAGGTAACTGAGAGATTGTAGAGCCTGCAATATGAGCAATTATCTTTGCTTTCTTTTTGTGTAGCTCCACACACACTCTCTTTGCATTTAAATAGCATACTTTATCCAAGGAACTCAAAGTGTATTACAAACCTCTATGAATTACACTGTGAAGTAAGTTGTATGTAAGTTAATAGGGCAATCTGAAAAACAAAGGGATGTTCAAGGATGACAAACAATCCAAGAGGTAATAAACTTTAGGCTAAAAGGGGCATTTTATTATAATATGACAGGAGAGTAAATATTTTCTGATGGCTATTGCTTGAGGATATATGCGAAAAAAGGTATATTTAGTATACCTTCCCCTTTCCTGGTTCAGAGAAACCCTTTGAAATATACCAGACTCCATGGGATACAATTTATTGTTGTGTATTTTAATATCTTTTTATTAATAAATATATGCACAAACTTTATGTTTTGTGTTTTTATCTTAATAAAGTTTGCAGGCCTTAGTGGAAGAGACAATAAGTATATCTGGATCAGATCCTCATCGGGTTTAAAACTGGGTGTTAAGCAAAGGGGCCCTCAAGACAAAGGGCTTCTGCCCTGCTATGTGTTGTCCTATCTAATTTAACCTCTCTGGAGTTACTGGTGAAAAGTTTGTAACATGTAGTAGTAGGCTTACAGTCTAACCAGTAATCACAGCTAGAATTAAAGAGCATTCTTTTAACTTGTAGTGCTGTAAGTGGCAGGGAAAATAAGCTCAGTAGGTACATAACTGTCTAAAAATCAAGATGTTCTATTCTCCATAGAATTTGTATAATGTAATTACAGCCTCCTTTGATTTGTTATAGTTGTTTATTGGGTCACTTTCCACAAGTTTCATTGAGAGTTCCTCTTAGGAACAAGATCAGTTTAGGATCTTAGTGAAATAACATCACTGTTCAGCCTCCTTCTTCAAAGTTCTTTGGTCCTTCACTTTCTTACCCTCTAGCCTTGTGCTTGGGGAGTTCTAAATTTTGAAACTACTGCACTTTGCATTAACACACCAGGAAATTCCTATTCTCAAGGAACAGGAGCTGAAAATACCAATACCTGAGCTCCAATCTTTACACGGTGTCTGCAAATATAATTTACCTTGATCTGCCTAAGTTCCTACTTCCCAGAGATGAAAGAAGGGTGACACCATGTCCAGAAATGGCTCCTTCTTCATCGAGACCTGGTGACTGAAGTACATTTTGCAGTGACAGCAAAGTGCCTTTCTGTTTCCTTTTAGCTTTTATACTTTTTGCTCAGATTGAGATTTAACTTGTGGGAACCATTATTCAAATTAACCCTGAAAAAATATTTTCCATAGCACCAGGGAAATGTATTAACAAAAAGGGAGCCTGCTGATAGCTGCTTTGATGAAGCAGAAGTAAATCTTACTCTAAAAAGAGAGAGAACTGTCAAAGGGGTATCATCTTTTCATCACTAAAGTCTATATTCCTTGAGTATGCACATTCACTGGTGCCCAAGTGATCACTTAGCGTCTATACTGAAGATGATGAGTCTAATGCATTTGCAAATTGTGCACGTTAAATCCAACACGGTACAGCTAATCCCTGCAAAATGTGTACTAAGTGCTGTTAGTAAGGAGAAGAGCAGAGTAATGAATTATATATTACAAAACAGCTATAGGAGGTCAGGGCAGCCGGACACAGCTTCTTTGGAACAATCTTGCAAATTCACAACTGTACAGAATAAATTGACTGAGGCAGTTTATTCCTCATGTGTTAGAATTGCACCAAATCATTTAAAAATTGATCCAGAGTCTTTAATTTGCAACTTAAACATGGTACCAGTTATGTGCTCTTTGTTACCTTCCTTCTTAACTTTCTCTGCTTGCTCATTTTTATATAAGGGATACAAGGAGTCGTTGAAGCATATCAGAGCTGCCTTCCTAAGCTACAGCTTTATGGGCCAACAAACATTGCTCCCATCATCCAGAAGGTGGCTAAATCAGCCTCGGAGGAGACTAACACCAAGGAGGCATCGGTAAGAATAGCAGCAAACTGCAAGCTATGCTAGAACCTATTTGTCTTACTATATATTGGATCCTTGCTAGTCAGTCATGATCTGGGTCATTTTAATATACCGCTATATGAATAATTTCTCAATGCTGCTATATCTTAGCAGCCTCCATAAATGTCTTCACATAAGACAAATAGAATCAGGGTCACATAGGGTCCTGTACTTGACATTTTCTCTGATAAATATTCCCAAGTTCAGTTCTAAAACCTGTTTTTTTCCCAATCCAATATAATGTAAATTGTGGCATGATGTCATATCAGGAAAGATTGGGCCTGATCCTCAGCAGGGGTAAGCTGGTCTAGTTCCCTGGAAGTCAAATGGCTACCCTTGAAGCCAATGGAGCTATGCCCATTTACATCAGCATGGGATCCAACCCAGACATCTAAAAACCTTTCTGTGACTAGCTCACATAACTCTGTGAGATGCTTGGATGGGAGGTGCTATAGATGTGCACAGTGTTGTTATCACTGTTTTATACATGGATAAATAATCACACAGGAGAGGCCAAATGATATGCTCAAGGCCCACAGCGAGTTGGTCGTGGCGACTGTGCCAGACCCTGACACAATGATCCTTGTGAGCTTACTCCAGAATTTCATGACAAACATCCCACAGAAAAGACACAGAGCTCCATTCATTGACCGAGCACTCAAAGGTAAATCCCTGCTTGCCCACCATTCCTACTAATCATCTGTCATTTTTATACAGCGTGGGCATTTTCTTCATATTGCCTGCCATTTTTTTCTGTTTTCACATTCCGTCTTCACCGTGTTACAGCGTGATTTCTGCCAAACCACTTGATAGCCAGTAGATCATTGATGCGATTGCACTAGATGCTTAGATACTAGAGTGATGGGCGCTACAAATGATTAGGAGGCACAGATTTTATTTAGAACTTACTGATTTGTAAGAACAAAAGAGCCATTTTGGAATGAAGTGGCCTGATTCTCCAATGCCTTTCACCTCATGCAGCCATTTGTATCTGTGCAAAATGCTACCAAATCGGGATGGCAGCATTTTGTGTTCACTTTGCACAGGTGTAAATGATAGCATAAAGTGCAAAGCATTAGGGGTAGGCCCTAAATACATTTGATCTTAGGAGGCAAAGGTTTAAAAAAGATGGCCATGTCACAGAGCCCATGCTGGAAGCTCCTTTGTTTCTCTGGGATCATATTCAACTATGGCCGTAGAACTTTGTTTGCTTTCCCATCATGAAGTGTTCTGTTGCTTTTAACAATAGTAAGAAAAGCCTGCACCTCTCCATTTGTGATAAGACCCATGACAGTTTCTTTCAGCTGAAAGGCCTAAGTACAGAATTTATTTTAAATGTGACTGAAATGCGTTGTACTTATTCTCCCTCTGCCCAGCAGGACTCAAAATGAGGGAGGGAAAATGTGTTAGTGCTGTGAAGCATCATCTACAATTGGCTCTGAAAAATGTGCAGGAATAGCATTGATGTTGGAGTCAGAGATGAAAGAAATTCTTGCATGCCTCTGAGGGGAAGAGGACTGCACTGTATATCATACCAGAACAGATCTGTACAATGGCACCATTGTCATCACCACAGCTAGGGCTTTCCCAGAGTTTTCTTCTTCTGTCTGATATATAGCTGCAGTAGTGTTCTCCACGCAACAGTTTTAAATAGAATTGTTTAATGCAGAGGAAGATGAATGAATTACGGCATAGTTTAGTCCTCAGGGGCTAGACTTCTTAAAAGAATCCACTTAGGATGACCAGACAGCACGTGTGAAAAATTGGGACACTTCTTTTTTCGAAGGGGAAGGGGCAGTATAGTTGCATACATAAGACACAGCCCTTAATATCAGGACAATTTCGATATTATTGGGACATCTGGTCACCCTAAATCCACCAGACAGAGTCCATCTAGTCCCAGGACATTACGCTGAGAGTCTGAAGACCTGGGCTCTCTTCTCAGTTCTCTCACTGAATTAGAGTGTGACATTAAGCAAGTTGCTTCACCTCTCTGTACTTCAGTTTCCTCATCTATAAAATGAGGATATTAATGCTTAACCACCTTTGTTAAGGGGCTCTGGATGAAAAGTAGCGCATGTGTAATAAATAGTATTATTATATTGTACTCAGTTTTCATTTAAAACGTAACTATAATCACCGCTCCACAGTTGAGATGTCCAGGTTCAGAGGATGGCTGCTGACCAAAATATAGAACGCTGTGGGCTGTATTTCGCACATTGGACTCCAAGGATCTATTATAACTGTGTTTAGATAGAAAAGAAAAGAAAAAACACATTTATTTTACTTTGCAGCATGATTCTTCAGGAAAAAAAATCTTTGTGTGTTTTGGTTTTCACACACGAGAGGCAATGAATGTGTGTGTGTGTGTGTGTATACATTTTATATATGGATAATATTACAGCTCAACTTTAACTGTATGGAGTTTCTCTGCTTTGTTCCCACACGCACCGTGACTCAGTTCTACTACTGCCTATACAGGAATCAGTTTCCTTGTAAAGTACATTCATAAAGTGCACCCCAGCTGCCTCGCTGTCCAGAAAGGCCCAAGTGCAAGTCATTCTTCCTCATTTATCAAATGAATCCCATTTCATCTAGTTCAGTGTAACTCAGAGTAGGGAAAGGAACTGACAAATGCACAAAAATGCTTAATCTCTTTTAGAAACCTGAGAATGACTCAACCTCTCCTCTGGGTTTGAAAGTGGATTTGAAAAAGTTCCTCATTCTCTCTCCACTCCCAAGTCATATTTCCTCTCCTGGGGGAGCCCCTGTCATGCTCCTGGACAAACTAGGAACCCCCCCCCCCCTGCATTCGTCCCCCCCTGAGTGCCCAGAGATAGTAAACCAGCCTCCATTGCGCAGAAAGCTGCACTCACCCTACCTACCTGACAGCAATGTTGGCTCCCTAAACAGAGCTGTTGTGATCTCCATAACAGTTCTTCCCCAGCTTCAGATACTGGAATGCAGCATCTCTCTCTGCCTCTTTTCTCCTTCCATTGGTTCTCAGCAAAAGAGTGTAGTCAGAAACCATCAGCAGAGGAAAGTGAGTCACGTAGGGATCACAAGCCAAGGGGGAGCCAGACCAGTCAAGCCTCCAAGCAAAAGTCCTGACACCTGCCATGCTTCTAGCAGCCAGGAGTCCCCATTCTCCTCAACATAGTATTCCTCTTGGCTTCCCCTACCTCCTGGAAATTAGCCAAACCCCAGTTAAAAAACACCTGAAGATAATCTAGGGGTCACCCCAATGGAGTTTGATTCCTGTGGGATGCAGTCTACCTCTGAGAACATTTTTTTTTAAAACAGACTTTGTCCAAAGCCATGGTTTATGGTTGCCATAAACGTGCATTAGAAAAAGCGAGGAAGCTTAAGATAAAGGTTTATATAACCAATGACTTTTCCCCCTGTTCTTCTCTCCTTCCCCAACCCGCAGCAATATTTCATCTTGCTGATTCTGACAGACGGCGTGATCACAGACATGGCTGACACCCGGGAGGCCATCGTTCATGCCTCCCACCTGCCTATGTCAGTCATCATCGTTGGGGTTGGAAACGCCGATTTCAGCGATATGCAGATGCTAGATGGCGACGACGGGATTTTGAGGTCTCCCAAGGGCGAGCCTGTTCTTCGAGACATCGTCCAGTTTGTGCCATTTAGGAACTTCAAACACGTAAGATGGATTTTCAGTCTGTTCGGTTTAGAGGCTGAGTTTCAGACATTGCTCTTAGCTTAGATTGAAACAAGAACTCGAGTGCGCCAATCCCAGCAAAATGGCAGCGTTTTATTTTGAAAATGAAATGGAATAAAGTTAAAATGCATGAGAGAGAAGGAAAAAAAGAGAGGGGAGAATAACTATATTTCAATGAGACATTGAGGTGTCTCCTGTTTGGTTACAATATAAGCCCTCAGTTCTGTATTTCTCGGTTTTTCTCCTCTCATTTATATTTGTCCTGATTTATTTTAAACCTCTGTTTTTCTTCCTTCTTTGTTTGGCTCTCGTCCCTGAGGCCTATAGTATCCCCCAGATTGGTCATTTCCACATAGAGACTGGAATCACTGTGAATTTGAGCTCACACGGTTTACATCAGATTGTTTCCTTGTCAGAATTCAGCCCCGTAAACCAGCAGAGGCAGGACCATCCGTGGGGAGGGCCAGTGATTCCTTGTTGCCTCCTCCCACCTCCCATTCCGTCTCCCCAACTCTGTGTAAGCATAGCACCTTGAATCCACTGCCAGCCACTATTACCCAGAATGCATCCTTAGGGAGTTGGGGTGTGGGAGATACATTATGAAAAGGGTAAAGTGGACCAGCTTTATCTTACCTGCTAAAACTGATGGGGGAACATGGCAATGGAGTGCAGCCATGCCCTGGCCCTGCACACTCCCGTCCCCAAGCACCACCTCCGACGTGATAGCACCTGAAATTCTCAGCGTCAGCCCTGACTTTCTTCGGGGTCAGGGAAACTCAGGCACCATGTCACAGAAGCAACTCTCCCACATACAGTGAGGCTTCACAGGATCCCATTTTCTTCCTTGTCAGACTGGAGAGGATTGCGTGTGTGTGTGTGCCTGTGCCAACTTTCTCTTATCTGTCCTCTTTACCTCTTCTGACCTCAACTATCTCTCCTCTTTACCTCTTCTGTTCTTTCTCCAGCCTCATTTCTCTCCCTTTCCCTCTTCTTTCTCTGTCTCTCCCCTTTTTCCTTCTTACCTTAGTAAATCTGCTTCCTGTCTTTTAGCAGCAAGGAGCCTTGGAACTATGTTTTCACTATTTAATTCTAACTAGTTCTTTCCACTGTACTGTATCCTATTAACTGAATTTCTTTTTCTTTGTGGAATAGACCTTTCCATGCAACTCCTATGTACTAGTTAACCACAGTTCTGGATTTATCTCCACCAAAGGTTATGGATTGTTGAGGGCCTATTACATCTATGGGTTGTTCTGTGTCTCTAAATACGTGTCTCTTGCTTACATTTTGTTGCCCTCTGCTTTTTTATTACCAGAAGGAGATTCTCAGTTCATCTTCTCCTCTTCCAAATCTCATTTTGCCACATTTTAATGAGAAACACACATCCCTCCTACACCCACAAGGTCCCATCGCGACATTCGCCCCAATCTCACAGAATAACCTGGTTTCTCTCGTCTCTCCAGCTTTAGTTTGGGGTAAACTTAGATTCTGGGAGGCAGATCCTCAGCCAGTGTAAAACTGTCATAGTTCCACTGAAGTTGTGAGGTATTACTTGTCAGTGCTACTAAGCCAGCTATTAAATAGAAGCTTTAACAAGGTGTGATCGTGACCTGCTCATAATTCAAAATTCCCCTCTACAGCTAATCACAGTGTGCAGCTTTTCACTTTAGATGCAGTGTATTGTGAAAGCATTGAAAGGTAAGTTATTTGAGTTGGTACTAGCCCTCCTTTTAGTTCGTTGAAAATATGTTTCCATGAGGAACTGGCAAAGCCAGCTTCTTTTTCTGTTTTTAGTGCCATATTGTGACTTTAGGACAGAGCTGAAATCATCCTTGATTGATCCTGACCATTGCAATTCTTTCTGGACACTGAATATATTGTGCTGCGGGTAACTTGAGAGAGAGTGTGATCTTCATTGCCAATTGTGGGTAAATTACAAGTATCTGTTGTCTTTAGTAGTTTTAGGTTAACTTTCAGAAATTTGAAAGGGTAGCAATCTTGGAAAGTTATTTTGCTCATTAAAAGAAGAGAAACTTGGTCTCTCTCTCTCTAGATATACACAATATTCTCTCCATATCAGAAGAACCCCTGTAACTTATAAAGCATGGTATTCAGTCTCTTTATTGAGATCTTGAGTGTCTCAGCTTAACACTTTAAGGTGCACAAATGCCAGTGTAATAGGTGCAAAATAAATGCTTGTGATGATAACCACCTCTTGATGAATCTCTTTATTACAGGAAGTACCCACGATAATGTTTCTGTTAGCAAGGTGGGGTTCCTTGCCTGCCTACATTTGGACAATACTAGCCTAACTGAAAATCTACCTCATGGGTCTATTAGAATAACTTGTTGGATCACTATAATTACAGGAGAAAGAGGTGAAGTCTGGAAAGGAGAGTGAGTAAAAATGAGCATATAAAATCGATCCCTGGGGGCAGGTCTTGATTCAGAAACGCACTTAAGCATAATCATAACTTTCAGCACATAAGTAGTCTCATTTAAGTGATTGGGATTATTCACAAGCTTAAAGTTAAGCATGTGCTTAAGTGCTTTGCTGGATCAGGACTTCTGTAGGAAGTGAGTATTGTCCTTTGTTAGTGTTCATAGTCATTTTAATACCAACTGTATAATTTCATTATGAAGGCCTAAGGCTATGAGGTGCTGAGCTCTTCCTGCACGCGGTCACTTAGCACCCTGGAGGATAACATTTTTATATTTGTAAGTTATTCAGTGCAGGGACCATGCCTTCTAGACTAGTCTCTCAAGGGTAATGCACACCTTTGATGCTGTAGAAAGAATTATAATAGTGGTGGTTCTTAGCAAATCCTAGAATCATGGGGCTTTGATAACAACCCAGGTAGTCACTACAGTTAAAAACAATTGTCCACAAGTATTGTGCATCTTGACTAGATTCCACATTTAGCCTGACTGCTATGGGGTAACATGAAAATAAAGAGAGAAAATGTTTTCTCTGGACTGAACTGAATTTCTGTCCTCCAAAATTATCATCATCCAAACATTTGTGTGTCAGTCTCTAATAAAAGCAGAACAGTGATGCCCATGAACAATTGCCAAAATGTATAAGAATATGAAAATCGCGTGTAACAAATGGCATTCTGCGATGGAGATTTTAAGCATTGAATTTTTCAGCTTTTTGGACTCATGATAGATGTACCATGCACAAATCTGATGCAGCCTGTGGATCGTTTTCCATTTTCCGTTGTGTTTAACCATAAAGCCTAACAACTGTGACTTAATAACACATATCACGGAAGAGTGTGGAAAGCCAAGCCCCTACCTCTGCAAGGAGCAATGTTTTGTACTATGCTTTGTAATTAAAGATTAAGCATGGTGAGCCTCTAGAACTGAATCAGTCATTTGTAATATATACCAATTATCATCAGAGGGAAGTATTTTCCCACTGCTGGCTGAGTTGATTGTTGTGTATTAACCATCAGTTGAGAAGTATTCATCTTGAGTTGTTTGTTGCTACAATGCTGTTCAAGCATATCATTAAATGCAAGAAAAATGTTATAGTGAAAATTAATTTATCATCTGTGTTAAATTCCTATGAAGAATAACTCTTATTTTTTATCATTGATGAAATGCCATTGGAGCACATGTGCTTTACAGACCAAAGACATAAATAAGGTGTTATTCTCATTTACACAAAGACCTCTTTACACCACTTTGGCCTTAAAGCGGGTGCACATTGCCAGAGCAAGGAGAATCAGGCCCATGATCCATACACTGAGAAACTTACCAGCTAGGGCCTCAATTCTGGAATGAGATCCACCAGAATGGACTCTGAAGTGAATGGGACTCTGTAATGTGAACCCACAATAAAGGGTCCATTTACGGAGTTGATGCTTTCGTTAAATAAAACTGACACTAACAGAGAGAAGAGGTGATGATGTGGTGGGGCAGGAGTATTGGTATTGAACTGATTTTCAGAAGTATTGAATGCCGCCCCCACCCCACATTGAAGTCAATCGGAGATGCTTTGAAAACTGAGCCATGTAAAGCCCTGTGGATTCTTGGTTTTGCATTGCACATGTTGTATTAGTTCCTTTTCCTTTCTGTTCTTTATATGAGTCTATTTGTGTTAATTTAGCCCGGAGGTGGCGGTCAGTGTAGTAACAGCGCTTGCGTATTTGGGGCGAATTTTCCCAAATTCTCAGCCCTGGCCTAAATTTGCTGCTCTTCCACTAAAGTCAATAGGTGTTTTCTATTGATTTCAGTGGGAGCAGAGTTAGGCCACTGCTGAAGACTTGTGAAAATGCCACATTTATCCTTCGAAAGGGATTAATACTGAAGGGGTTTGTAACTTCTTATACCTGGAAAAAATAGATGTACGTGTTCTGTCCCCAGAAGGGTTTGTTTTGCCTTGTCTGTTTGTTTATGCAGAAGTGTCTCATGCATTTGAACACTTGACTGTCTCTGCAGATTTCAGTTCAAATGTCATAATGTGAAGCTAATTCCCTTTTATTTTTTTTACTGTTTTAATTTTTTTTTACATTACCAGTAAAGTACAAGAACTCAAAATGCAGATATTAGTTTTGCTTCCTCTAATTTATGCCAGGATTTCCTCATTATTTATATACTTTGTTACTATTAAATTAATCTAAATTAACTGCATTTTTTTCTGTACCTTTGGATTGGCATGTTTATACATATAAGTAAAAGCACAGTATACTTCCTATATGAATCAAATTCTAAATATGCGGTGGGATAAGCATCTGAACCAATGACAGAGAGGAGGAGAATAAATATGGGGTTGTAATTTGTTCATTTCCGACAGTGCAGCTTATACTGTGAACCTAAAATATTATCTAGAAAGAGCGATGAGGGGAGACTCTATTAGCCAAGGAAAAGAAGTTAAATATCCACGGGCTCCAGCCCTTGAATACTCCCTTGCAAAAGTCGCCTTGCTTAAGAAGAGAGAGTCAGGAACCTGTGCTTTGCTATTGCTGTTGCTGTCAGTTCAGTAATGCTTGTACCTGATTTAGAGCCCACTCCAGTTCTATTGAAGTCCGTGGGTGCCTTTATGATGACATTAATGGGAGTTGGATCCGGCCCCTTAATTAGCATTTCTTATCAAAACTAGAGGAGTACTGGAAATAGGCATATTGAAAAGCAGGGCAGAGTTGACCTCTTAATGCATAGGTAATGGGACTCTGTTTGGGCACAAGGGTCTGTCCCCTGGCTCTAATTGCAGGATCGGGGCCTTGGTTTGCCAGCTTAATAACAACCCCACAATAGGCATGGATATTTCCTCTCTCAGCCATGATGTTTAAAGATGTCCTTGGCAAAATTCTACTGTATTTACAATAAGGAGTTGCGATCACGTATGCCAGCCTTTTCTCGGGGTAGCAATCTCTAATGACAATGTGTGGCCTGTGCACATGCAGACGGTCACAGCTATGGAATCTCTCTGCATTTAAGGGTCTTTGAATGAAAATATGTAGCACGTGCAGAGACACTGCCACTAGGTTAGACCCGTAATTTACATTTGGGTTGTTTTATGGCTTCATGAAGCCTATCAGGGAAATGTTTTTCACATTTGTTTTAATTTCAATACAAACATTTTTATTTGAATTTAAAACTTCCCCCAGAACTTAAACAAAGGCTTCCCTTTCACATGGTTGACTTCGAACGCAGTGGAGTCGCTCACATGCTTAACATTAAGCTCATGCATAAGTCTTTGCAGGATTGGAGCCTAAAAACTAAAGTGAACCTAACTTGTTGAGTTTTATTGTCTAGACCGCTTAGGAGCGAAGGGTAAACAAACAGCAGGGATGGTGAAAAGTAAAGTAGTCTTTTCACATTCTTTTAAATCCTCTTCAATTTGACAGTCTTATAGTTAACACAGACAAGAGAATTTTGACCAGGAAATCCCTTTAGTTCTGACTTGGCCCTCTCATGGACAGCAGTCAAGCAAAAATATACAGTGGTACAGCAATTGCAGTGTAATGTCCTCATCCCACACTCAGAACTGAGCAGGTGGCAGGCTGGGCAAAGCCTTGAGGACTTTAGTGAGGTTTTGTGCAGGTGCAGGAGTGTGCTGACACAGAATCACTTGCAGTATTTGGACCTGAAATAGTGTCATGTACTTTGATAGCTATTGGTCTGCTTTTATTCCATGCTTATGACCATGAACTCCCAGCGCCTCTGGTTATAAGACCAGTCGGCACCTTTTGCATAGCGACAGGTTAACACTGTGTTTTCTACCATTTCCTGCAGGCATCCCCAGCTGCACTAGCAAAAAGCGTTTTGGCTGAAGTTCCAAATCAAGTGGTGGACTATTACAATGGCAAAGGGATTAAACCAAAATGTATGTCAGAGTACGAGTCTTCCAGGACACTAGCGCCATGAACTTCCCGCACACTTTTACAGAGCTCAAAACTGCTACTACTACAACTACCGTACTTTAAAACAAACAACAAAATAGCACGTTTTGGTGATTTTTAACTAAAATAATTTTTTTTGCATGTGTAGCCTAAAGGCTTGAATCTGTTAAGCAGTTGTTATTGTTGAAAACTTTTTATGAGAAGAAGGAAACTAACTCTTTACAGCATGTCGCCTTGAAATAAAAAGTTATCTGTATCTGGTTTTTATACAGGTTTGTTGAAATTTTGCTAAATTTCTTATTATCTTTCCACTGTAAAGCATTTTGAAACATTTGAGAGCGGATAGCCAAAATACCTTTGGTTTTATCTGCTGCGAAACAAAAGATTTTTCAAAATGGCAGATGCATGAACTGTATTTTGCATGTTTAAAATAAAAACAACACAGTTTTGCAGTTGTTGTCTTTATTTCTCTCTTGCCACAAAGTTGCCTGCTCTAAACCCTGTACTCGGCACACTGTACTTCAAGGAAAGAAGGACCAAAGCATTCTAAGACACTTCTGAAAGACTACGCCCCAAAGCATGGACAGTTCTAATGACAGCAGCTTATAACAGGGGTGCCCAAACAAGCCCAGACAGCCTATGGATTCATTGGCAATTGTCAAGAGCCCAAGGGCATATCTGATTAGTGTAACTTGAGCAGACTATAGCTGCATTCATCTTTAATATGGAGGTATGGTCCTCGAGGACTACATGTGCTTAAGTGCCATGTTCCATCTTGATCCACGCGACTTGACTGGCTGGTATGTGGGCAACATTTTGGCCACCTTTGATTTATAATCAGGCCTGTTTTTGAGTTGTTTTGTTTGTATTTTTCATTTCATTCACAATACCAAATTTTTGCGTGGAGCACTATCCAAGACAGATGTTGCATGGCCTAATTTTGACAAAGAAAATAGCTTGAAGCCTTCGTTGGTACAGAGTTGCTTGTATACAGTGAAAAAGCTGTTTTGTACCAGAAGACTATTAGACCTACTTTTTTAATGGGGTGAGGGAGGAAAATAACAAATTGTGTTTAGATTTAGAATCTCTCCATTTACAAAAAAAACAGGTTTTGATTTCTAGTGTCTGAGGTCTAACATCAAGTTTTGCGAAATACACAGCAGCTAAATACACAACCTGTTAAAGGATGATGGTGAAATTTTGGCCAAAATAGCTATTTAGGGTGAGACATTTTTCCAAAGCCCTCAGTATTGACCCAACTCTGCTCCCATTGAAGTCAATGACAGTTTTGCCATTGACTGCAACAGAATCAGGCTAATGGTGAGTGCTTTGGAAAATTCCACCCTTACTCTGTAGTTTTCTTAAAATGTGTTTAAAAGCATGGATTTCTGCATAATATATAGTTTTAGTTTTCTTGTTTTCATTTAAAAGTACTTTCTAAAGAATCAGTTTTGATAGATGGTTTGGTACCATTCGATGAAGATAATGTATATCTGTAAAGTGTGTCCAGCACATTTCACTTCTATTCCATCTGTGTCCTTGCAGAGTAATTTCTCTAACTGCCTAATAAGTATTCCTTCAGGTGATCTGATGTTGAACAGCAGAGATATCTGTTGGCCAATTTTACTTGGTCATAGGTGTAAATTGTCTATAGATGTCCCAGGCGATAGATCTCAAATCCACTTTTTCATTTAATGGTTGACTGTGCACTTAGGGTCTGTGTCAGCTGATATCAGCTAACACCAATGTGCAGCAGATCTCTCCCTCTAGGGTTCTATTTTTGCAAGAAAATACAATGATTTCTCCTATTATAGACTACCCAGCTCTGCCAATGCATCTCATTACTGACCTATAACCCCCTGGCTTTCCCAGGCCTGATTTTCCTCTTTTTTTTTTTTGGTCTTTTTTTCTACTTCCAAAGGAAGCCTTGTCAGCTGAGTGGTTCAAGCACAGAACTGGAATTCAGTAGTTCTATGTTTCTAGCTTTGCCACTGATTTATTGTGTGATCTAGGGCAAGTGGTTTAATTTCTTTGTGCTTCAGTGTCCTTACCGGCAAAGTGGGATGATAACTTTTAATGAGTTGAACCACAAAGGAGTGTTGTGTGACTTAATTCATTAATTTTTGGAAGATGCTTTGAGATCCTGAATGGCAAGGTGCTATACTCTATTAAAGAAAACATTTTTTCATGACCTACAAATTTAATAGCCAATTTCTTTTTCTTGTCAGGGTCTTTCGTCAACTTATAGAGAAGAAACTATATCAATGTACATTGACTGCATATAGCAATGACTGCTGCTTAACTAAAAGGGTGAGATGGTAGAGGGACAATGAGTGAGGACCAAGAGAATAAATTCACTTTTTTTAAAGGAGGGGAGTTAGTAGTATCAAGTGCTAAAGCTTCTCTAAATAATGATCATTGATGTAGTATTTTGCTACCTAACTAACTCTGTCAGAATGACACAAATACACAAAATTTGGAAGAGATGTAAACCAAGTGCATCAGGGCTTAAACCAATCTCTATTAGCGATCCGGATATGTGAAGAGCACATTTATCTACTGCGGGGATCTTACACCTTCCTCTGAGTATTTCTACACAGCAACTGAGCAGGGTGATTCGCAGCAAGGGTAAAAATGCGTGTGCTAGCTCGGCCCGAGCCATGGCCTAAAAATAGCAGGGAGGCTGCAGCAGTATAGGCTGTGGCTCAGGCTAGCCATCCTCGTCTGTATCCCGGGGATTGGGCGGGATTGCAGCTAGCCCAAGTTGCCACCCGGGTGGCTGTAACCAGACTGCTATTTTTAGGTGCTAGCTGAAGCAGAGCTAGCATGTGTATGTCTACCCACACTAGAAATTACACCGCCCAGCTGTTGTGTAGACATATCTTAAAGCATCTGGTTCTGGCCATAGTTGGAGACAGGATACTGGACTAGATGGACTGCTGGTCTGATCCAGTCTAGCGGTTCCTATGATCCTATCTATTGGTATTGCACCTATTTTCTGTTCAACAGATTCAATGTTTAGATTCATAGATTCTAAAGCTAGAAGGAACCATTATGATCACCTAACTCACCTACTGCACATTTAACATAGCTACCTTGGTATTCCATGTCACAAATGACATAATATAGCAACCTCCATAGGTGTTTGGGAACTCCAGGTTCAGTTAGTAATGCTTGGTGGGTGGGACATTGCTCACAATTTTTTTTGGTGGGGAGGGGAGTTGGTCTACACCATGATTTTGCAGCTTATGGGGTGGTGAGCCTGGGTTGGGGAATGGGAGGCAGGGGTCACAACTCTCCTCCTTTTCTTCATGTACTGATGGGAAGGGGAATCGTGACCCTTTCTTTTGTGGTAACATGAGGTCCCAGGATGGAAAGGGGTGGGATCTACACTGATCTACACATTTACATGTTTCCTCTTTTGGATTTTTCCTGAAGAGACCTATTTTTCAATTGTTAGAAGTGAGTGAGAAAGATGAAGTGCAGTGAATGTCTGAGACAGCTAGAGCCATTCTTGCAGTCCTCTTCTGTGCTGTGCACATTGGTTTGTGCAGTGGAGACAGAAATCAAGTAGCATCTCCTTTCTTTATAAGATACTGTCCACCTCAGTGCTCAAGGCTCCAGATTTCAGCTAGTCATTCCTTCTTGCTCATTGTTGCTTTTCACAGACAAACACAGTGAACCTTGTCTTGAGGGATCAGCAAAAAATTGATTTCCTAGTAAACGTATTCTGGTTGAACCAAACTATAGTGGAGATTTTGTGGTTACCCTGAAGTGGTTACTTACATTAGGTCAGAAGGTCACTTACTGGAGGTGTTTGTGATGGGTTCCCCCCAGGATGCCACCTGGAACTGGGTTACCACTGAGCCCTATGACCCAACTGCCTTGGCTCCCTCTCTCACTGTGCTGCTGTGACAAGCTGCAGACCCGCTCCCGGTTCTACACTTCCACCAGCATTCGCACAGGTAGGGACACACCCAGCTGCAATTACATGCAGGCTCTTTGACTAGAGGCTGCACGAACCAACAGTAGAAAGGCTAAAGCCAAAGTAACTGTCAGCTCCCCAGGCATGCACTCCCTCTGGAGCATAAACCCAAAATTATACCGTCTTGCGCTGCACAGGGAACTGTACAGCATAAACTCAGAGTTCGCCCCCCCGCACTCCCCCACACACATTCAATGTGGAGAGGAATATGCAACAGCCTTTGCCCCTTGAGCTACAATTTCCCATGCACTTCACTCCAACTCACTAGTTTAGATAAAGCAAAAACAAGTTTATTAACTACAAAAGATAGATTTTAAGTGATTGCAAGTGACAGCAAACAGATCAAAGCAGATTACCTAATAAATAAACAAAAACGCAAACTAAGTCTAAGATACTAGAAAGATAGGATATGAATTAGCAAATTCTCACCCTGGCTGATGATACAAGCAGGCTGCAGATTCTTAAGGGACAAGCTGCACTTGCTTTACAGCTTGGAATCCCCAGGTCTTTCATACACAGGCTAGAAATCCCTTTAGCCTGGGTCCAGCACTTACCCCTGTTCAGTCTTTGTTCCTCAGGTGTTTCCAGAAGTCTTCTTGCGTGGGGAATGAAGAACAACAGACGATGTCACTCCCTGCCTTATATCGCTTTAGCATATGGTGGGAACCCTTTGTCCCAAACTTAGTTTGTGAAAAAACACCGACATCCCAAGATGGAGTCCAGAATCATGTGGCCTGGTCACATGTCCTTGTAGAGTCATAGCAGCCATTACTTACAGGCTGTCTGGAGTGTTCTCAGGAAGGCTCACAGGTGGTAGATAAGCTTTTCTTAAGGCCTATTGTTTTCTCTAATGGCTTATTGCCCTGAATACGCCCTTCCCAACCAGCTATCCAGACTGAAAGCATCTTGTCTAGTGGGCATCACCCGGGTGTAAGTACATTTGAAATACAGATACATAGTCAATAGTCATAACTTCAGATATAAAAATGATACATGCATACAAATAGGATAATCATATTCAGCAAATCTTTTTGCTATTCAGTAACTTTTCCAATGACACCTCACATGACCCATCTTGTACAACAGCATCATTATTATACTCTAAAGTATATCATAATAATATCACTATGAAGAATATGTGCTGCAGTGTCACAGTGTTATGTTTAGGTTCCACAATATATGATTACCTAAATACCAGCGTTGAGATATTGGTTGTTGAAACAGATACCATATACTGTAGTGTATAAATTGTCTATCAATTTCACATGTATTGGAGACTGTATATGAAAGTTTCATGAGAAAAATCACAGAACCTGCAGAGCTTTCTATTGGTTGAACAGAATAAAATTTTGAGTTCTGAAAAATACATAGCCATCACCAGTAATTGAATGAAAAAGAGTTTGCAGTTCA